TAGATGAAATGGACACATTAATTGAAAGATACAAATTATCAAAAATTGACCCAAGAAGAAACAGAAAACCTGAGCAGCCCATTAGTAATAAAAGAAATTGAATTAATATTTAACAACTTCCACAAAGAAACTCCAGGCCCAGATGACTTCACTGGTGAATTCCATACAACATTTAAGAAAGAAATAATACTAATCCTACACATACTTTTACAGAAAATAGAGGAGGAAACACCAAATCATTTTATGAGGCCAGTATTTCTCTGATTCCAAAAGTAGAGAAAGGCATCAAAAGAAAACAGGACTATAGAGCATTATCCCTCATAACATATATGTAAACCTTAACAAAATATTAGCAAATTTAATCCAAAAATATATACCTAATATATTAAATAATACATATCCAATAAATATAATGCATCATAACCAATGGGGTTTATTCTGGGGATGCAGGTATATCATTAAATGCCCAAGTAGAGAGAAATCACACAGTAATTTAAACAAGGAAAGTCTGATATGAAAAATTACTAATTCCAACAAGGGAGTAACTCTAAAGATATAAAGAATGCTAAGCAATACACTAGGCATAGTAGTTAGGCAATCATATACTTTACAGTGTTCTCCCTGATACTACCTGATACCATACATAGTTACAATATTATTGACTATATTCCCTATGCTGTATTTACATCCCTGTGACTATTTTGGTTTTTTGTTTTTTGTTATCCTTTTCCATTGCTTTTCAGAGAGAGGGAGAAAGGAAGAGAGAGAGAGAGAGAGAGAGAGAGAGAGAAACATCAATGTGAGAAAGACACGTGGATTAGTTTCCTCCCGCATGTGCCCTGGCTGGGGCTGGGGATTAAGCCTGCAACTGAGGTATGTGCCCTTGGCCAGAATCAAACCCTTCAGTCCGCAAGCCAATGCTCTAACCACTGAGCCAAACCGGCTAGGGTCCTGTGACTATTTTGTAACTACAAATTTGTACATCTTAATCCCTTCACCTCTTTCACCCAGCATCCCCCAAACCCTTCCCCCCTGGCAACCATCAGTCTGTTCTCTGTATGAGTCTGTTTCAATTTTGTTTACTTATGTATATTGTTCTTTAGATTCCACATAGAAGTGAAATCATATGGTATTTGTCTTTCTCTGATTTATTTCACTTAACATTAATACCCTCTAGATCCATCCATGCTGTCACAAATGGTAAGATTTCACTCTTTTTTTATGGCCAAGTAATATTCCATTGTACTTAAGTACTGCCACTCATATGTTGGACACTTGGGTTACTTCCATGTCGTAGCTATTGTAAATAATGCTGCAATGAACATAGGGGTGCATAAATTCCTTAAAATTAATGTTTTGGGTTTCTTCAAATACATACCCAAAAGTGGAATTGCTGCATCATAAGTCAGTTCTATTTTAATTTTCTGATGTAACTTTATACTGCTTCCCACAGGGGCTGCACCAATCTGCATTTCCACCAACAGTGCATGGGGGCTCCCTTTTCTCCACACCCTCGCCAACACTTGCTTGTTGATTTATTGATGATAGCAATTCTGACAGGTGTGAGGTGATATCTCATTATAGTTTTAATTTGCATTTCTCTGATGATTAGTGACATTGAGCATTTTTTTCCTGTCTATTGGCCATCTGTACGTCCTCTTTGGAGAAGCATCTATTCAGGAAAACTATGATTTTTCAGACTGATAATAAAGTCAAAGCCAGCTGTTTCCTGCTTTTAAGAAGCATACTTTAAAAAATAAAGTTGCAAAAGATTTTAAAATGAAAATACTAATTAAAATAAAGGTTATATATTAATTAGAAAAGGAGACTTTTAGATAGAAAATATTACTAAAGATTAAGATATTTCATGAAAATAATCCTGTCCTCTTCACCTTTCTGTAAGATTCTATAAGGCTCTTAAATCTAGTGACTAGCCTGGCACCCTCTATAGGTGTCTCAGCCCTGCATACTCCTTTTCAACAGCGCTGAACTTGTCAACTAGTTGGAATTATTCCTAAGTCTGTGCAGCCAGTTTTTCTGTGAGCTGCTTTTCAAGTCTTTATAAAGTTGATGTAATGGATTGCACAAATTTGAATAGAAATATGAAACTCACCAATAATCAGATAATAGGTGAACACATCACTATTTCCCACTGGAGGCTGTGAAAAGTGAGTTGTGGATGCAGGTCATTGGGCAGTAGCTCCATCACCACCTCACCCAGCTTCCCAAGGATCAGCCCATAGCTAAGCTCTGCAGGGGACCGCGGCCCCTCCATGGGACTGACCCACCACAGGGCTCTGCCCAGTACCCATGGGTCTACCAGACACGAGAAACCCAGAAACACCCAACAGTCCACTTGGATTGGAACCCAACCAGCAACAGGTAGCCTGACTTTGAATTGCTCAGTTATATTGCTGTTGGGGGGAGAGGAGGAGTGATTTATAAATAAAATATGCTTCTCTAGAAAAAGAAGTATGGAAAACACTAATTAAAATAATTTCTATACTAGTATTCGAAAAGGTTTTTAGCTAGGAAGCATTACTAACTCATAAAGGGGACATTTTATAAAAATAAGTGTCAATATAGTGCAAGATTATTTATTCCAAAGTTGTATGCACTTAACAGTACACCTTTAAAATATGTGAAGCAAAAAAATACATAAGTCACTAAAAGAAGAAATAGATGAATGCACAGTTACCAACAGGAGATTTTATCTTACGTCTCTCAGTAACGTAAAGAATAAGCAAAGCCAGAAATCAGTAAATATAGAAAAGATCCGGACAACCTGATTAACAAATTTGATAGAACTAACATATAAAAACACAGAACCAAACAGCACCAGAATACTTTTTATTTTGAAGACACGGGGAACATTTGCTATATGGCAGGCCATAAAACAAGTATCAACAACTTTCAAATAACAAAACGGATCTCGTAAATTACCTGAAACATTTAAGAGGAATAAAAAGAACAAATCTTACAGAAATTCTTCCAAAGAAAGAAAAAAAATGCATACAGCATACGTTTAGCAGAGTCCTGACGCCTCTACGTGTTATGTGCCACTGAGGCGGCCCCAACTCCTGGCAACCCTATGAACGAGTGATGTCCCCAGTGTCCTGTGCTCACACCCCCACTCCGCCCCTAGAGAACCACGCTATGGCTTCATTTATGGAGCCAATCCAACTCAAATTTGGTCTTTCTCTTTTCCTACTGCCTTCTATTTCCCCCAGCATTATTGTCTTTTCCAAAAACCGTGTCTTTTCACGATGTGCCTAAAGTAGGACAGCTTCAGTTTTGTCATTTTTACCTCCAGTGATGTTTTAGGCTTAATTTGCTCTGGGATCCAATTGTTTGTCTTTCTAGCAACCCAAAGTATCTATAGGGCTCTCCTCCAACACCGTATTTCAAATGAATCAATTTTTTTCCTATCAGCCCTTTTCACTAATTTTTGCATCCATAACTAGTAATTGAGAATACAGGGTCTCTAATGATCCATCTTTGCTTTAGTGATCTTTTTTTTTTAATCCTCACGTGAGGATATGAGGGTTTGTTGTTGTTGTTGATTTTGAGAGAGAGAGGGAGAGAGAGAGAGAAACATCGATCAGTTGCCTCCCACACACGCCCAGACCAGGGATCAAATCTGCAACCTTTTGGTGTATGGGACAGTGCCCCCAACCAACTGAGGCACCTGGCCAGGGTGTCTTAGTGATCTTTCCTAATTCTTCCACTGTTACCCTTCCAAGTCTCAGCCTTCTCTTGATTTCTTGGTTGCAGTCTCCATTTGAACTGGTAACTGAACCAAGTTAAGGAAAATCTTTAACGATTTCCATATCTTCATTGTCTATGTTAAAGTATATTTCTCCTCTTGTCATGACTTTTGTCTTCTTTCACTTTCATCAGAAGTCATTTCAAAGCATTGCTACTTTCTGCCAATAAGACAGTGTCATCTGCATATATTAAGTTATTGATATTTTTTCTACCAGTTTTCACTTCTCCTTCCTCTGAGTCTAGCCCAGTTTTTCATATATGTTCTGTGTACAGATTTTTAAAATGGGGAGATAAAATGCGCTCCTGTCAGACACCTTTACCTATAGGAAATTGTTTTGTCTCTCCATATTTTGTCCTGACAGTGGCTTCCTATCCACAATACAGGTTATGCATCAGGACAATCAAGTGCTGAGCACACCCATTTCTTTCAGGGCAACCCACAGGTTTTCATGACCCACGCGATCAAAAGCTTTACTGTAGTCATAAAACAGACTAACTTCTTTCTGAAATTCTTGGAGGCACTCCAGTATCCCACAAATGTTTGAAATTAGATGTTGAGTGCCTCTTCCTTTTCTGAATTCAGCTTGAACGTCTGGCATTTCTTGCTCCGTAAAAGGTAGAAGCCTTTGTTGCATCATGTTGAACATTCCTTTGCTTGGGTGGGAAATTAAAGTAATGGTCCTATGGTTACTGCACTCTTTGGCATCTCCTTTCTTGAAAACATGGGAGGTATATTGAATGTTTCCAATCTGCAGGCGATTGTTTTGTTTTCCATATTTGCCGACACAGTCTTTTAGGATTTTGACAGATTCCGTCTCTGTAGCTTGAAATAATTCTATCGGTACCCATCAATCCCTGGTGATATATTTCTGCCCGATACTTTCAGGGCAGAACCAGAATTAAAGGGTCTTCTTCATAGGGATCTTCTTCAAAGGCATCTGGCATCCTTTTGTCTCTTTTGTGTAGACTTTAAGTCTGCCATTTCCACCTTCCTTGTATTTTCTCCTGGTCAGATAGCGTGCTTCCTTGGTTATTCAGCCCGCCTTCATCTAGGTCTGAATTTCCCTTTTATGTCTTGAACCTTCTTTTTTTTTTTTTTTTTTAATATATCTTTATTGATTTCGGAGAGAGGAAGGGAGAAAGGGAGAGAGATAGAAACATCAAATGACAGAGTCATTGATCGGCTGCCTCCTGCACTCCCTACTGGGGATCGAACCCGTAACCCAGGCATGTGCCCTGACCGGGAATCGAACCGTGATCTCCTGGATCCTAGGTTGATGCTCAACCGCTGGGCCACCCCCGGCCAGGCTTGAATCCTCTGATAGAGATGTCTTGTTGAGAAGCCTACAAAACATTTATACCAAAATCTGATAAGGGCATTATAAGAGAGTAAAATAATATGCTCATGAACATAGAAGTAAAATTTATTATTAAAATTAGCAGATGTGATCTAGGAAAAAAACATAAAAAAGATAACACATCATGACCAAGTTGGGCTTATTTCAGGAATGCAAGGGTTTAACATTCACAATCTAATTACCATAATTCACCACATTGACAGAAAAAGAGGGGAAAATCATATAATTATCTCTACAGATGCAGAAGAAAAGCATTTTATATAACTAAACACCCATTTATTAAGAAAATTCCTAACAAACTAAAAGGAACTCTCATAATCTGATAGCAAATAGTTCTACATCTTACTTAAGGTGAAATATTGAAAGTTTTCCTCCTAAGATTGGGAAGGAGACATGAATGTCTGTTGTCACCACATCTTTTCAATGTTCTATCCAGGACAAAAAAGGCTAAGGAAGGGAAGGGATGGAAAGGAAAGGAGTAAAACTGTTATTATTTACAAAGAATATGCTTGATAATAGGAAATAAAAGATAATATGCAAGTATTAGAATTAATAAATGAACTTAGCAAGATTGCTGGAAAGATTAACATAAAAAATCAATTTTAGGTATCAACAAACAATTGGAAAATTAAAAAATTTTAAAGATACCATTTACAACAGTAAAAACTTAATGAAAGATGCACAAGACCTCTACACAGAAAACTGCAAAATATTATTTAGAAAAACTAAAGACCTAAATAAATGAAGGAATATACCAGGTTCATGTATTAACAGACTCAAAATCCACAAATCTTCAATATGGTAAAGATACCAATTCTCCCCAAAATTGATCTACAGGCAAACAAAATTCCAGAAAGTTTTCTGCATACATTCACTAACTAAACTTTATATGGAAATCCAAAGGATCATTCATAGGCAAGACAATCTTAAAGAAGAAAAAGTTAGCAGACTTACAATATCAAATACCCAAGCTGATTCTAAAGCTACAATAATTAAGACAGAGTAGGGATCGCTGGAAAGACAGACAAACAGATCAATGAAACAAAACAGAAAGTCCAGGAACAGATTCACACACACACATATCCAAAAGTGACCCTGCAGTGCAGCAGAGAAGGGATGATATTTTCAATAAATGCTGCTGTGTTGATGGGATATCCACAGAAGGAAATGATCCTGACCTCTACCCCACACCATTCGAAGGAATGAATTCCCAGTGGATTTTAGATCGAATGAGAGAAGTGAAACAATAAAGCCTCAAGAATAACGCACAGCCTGGCAGTGTTGCTAAGTGGTTATTGCTTCCCCTGCCCACCAAGGGGTGGAGGATTAGAGTCCTGGTAAGGGTACACACCTGAGTTTGGGGTTTGCTCCCCACCTACCAGTTGGGGCACGTGCTGGAGGCAACCAGCGGATGTGTCTCCCTCACATCGATGTTTCTCTCTCCCCCCACCCTCTCTGTCTCTCCTCCCTCCATTCCACTGTCTCTGAAAAACAATGGGGAAAATATCCTCACGTGAGGATTAACAAACAAACAAACAAAAGAATAACACATAATATCTTCATGCCCTTGGGGTACACAAGTATTTCTTAAACAAAATCCTAAATGCACCAAACTTAGAAGAAATTTTTGATAAATTGGACTATTTCATAAATATAATGTGGAGTAAAATAAGCCAGACCTAATAAAATTTGATGTGTGATATTATATTTACAAAGTTCAAAAACATGAAAAATTAACACATATTAATAGTAGGTAGGATAATAGGTGTATACTTAGAGTCATTCTTGTGAGATGCCCAGAACAAAAGAAATCTGACTCAACATAAGTTGACATCACCAATTCCAGCTCCTAAAAATTACCAGTAATTTGTACCTGGCATTGCCTAGCCAAAATAAAAGATTTACCTTCCATCTTCCCTAGGTTTCCCTTTACATTAAACTGGAGGGAGAAAGGAATAACAGAAGGAAGGGGGAGGGGGAGAGAGAGGGGCGTGTATATAATACTCTGTATTTTTTAGTCTTTCATGTGTATTTGCTTCTCCAAATCAAATCGTAGTTATTACGAATTTCATTTTATGTCTTAAAAATCTTTTTTAAGCTGTAAAAGAAACAAAACAAAAATGTAAAATATAGACCTTGCCCATATAAATTTATAATTGCACAAAGCATAAGTGAATTAGGAAGTAGAAACCTGACATACAAATAAAATACCAAAATAATGGCATAAGAAAGTTTATGATATTGTACCCAAAATGATCACTGGAGCATAAACACTGGAGATTAGAGAGGAGATACAGGGTGTACTCGGAGGTAGCTTTTTGGGAGATGAGCTTGAAAATTTTACTTAGAGGTACAGGGGTACAGCCTGCTAGTTGCCTCCCAATATTTATTTCCTAATTCTTACTTTTTTAAAATGAAAAAAACCCACCTGATTTTATTTGAGGCAGCAGTCTGCAAAATTGTCTCCATTTTCCAGGTTATCTGACAGCTAGTGTGACCAGGTAGTTAAGTCCTGTATGGCAAACTGTAAGCAGAAGAGCTGTATGAGATCTCCAGGAAATATCCTAAAAGGAAACTGCCTCCACCAAGCAGTGTGCCCATTCTGCCTTTCCCCACCTCCTTCTTTCTCTGGTATATGGATGTGATATCTGGTACTCCAACAGCCACCTTGGACCGTGAGGAAGAGAAGAAGGAACCAACCATGGAGTTTCTACACAAACACTAGGCAGCCTGCCTTTGAACTTCTTTTCCTGAGAGAAAAACTGACCCTATGCATATCATAATATGTAGATGATCCTAGTGCTAGCTAGCTTAGGCAGACGGAACTTTCTATTCAGGTATTAAAACAAGGTATACATTGGGTGGTGTGAAGGCTCATACCAGCTCACAAAAGCCAATTGTTTAATTTTCAGAAATGTCTGTGAACTGGTGTTAAATACTTATACTTTAAAAAATAAAACTATATAAATGTAAAACTAAATGAATTATTATATCAAAAATGAAGGTAATAAATACTAAAAAACTCACTATTTCCTAATTATTTTTATGGCCTTTTATTATTATCTATGCCCTTAAGGTTCTACTTGCCTGGTAGAAATATTTCATAGCAGTGCGTTACTATACATTTCTTTCTAAGTCCACATTCTGTGATTTCATGTTGGCAGCTTGAAACATATTTTCTAAAAAAAATAAATCAAACACTAATAGATATCTACTAATTATTACATATGGCAGGAGAGAAGAGAGTAAAAGAAGAGAGGAGATGGAGATTAAAATGAGAATTCCCTGATTGTACTGTTTTATATACTTTTGACTGAACTATATAAATGTTTTATATACTTTAAAAATTATCAAATTTTTAAAAATATAATTTCTAAAATTTGAAAACAAATGGAAACCTATAATCCCAACTGTGTATCAAACTGATAGCATAACCACACAAGGAAAATAATTATTTCAAGTGACTTTCAAACACAGTAATTTGACTATATATCCCTTGGGGGATATACCCTAGGGATAAAAGAACCACAAAGAAATCTTAAGCTGCATTCAGTGGTTTTATTATTAGAAGGAATATTGATATTGCTTTTTAAACTATTATATGTACATTTAAGATTAGGAAATAAATACACAAATTAATGTCTTTAAGAACCAAGATTTTCAGAGTAAGGAAAAAAATGATACACAGTAAATCAAAGAAGTTTAATCAAAACTCTGTAATCTTAAATTTGAATTGGTTCACACCCATTAGAATGACTACTATTAAAACAAAGGGGAGCCCTAGCCGGTTTGGCTCAGAGGTTAGAGCATTGGCCCTTAGATGGAAGGGTCCTGGGTTTGATTCCAGACAAGGGCATGTACGTTGGTTGCAGGCTCGATCCCCAGCCCTGGATGGGGACCATGCAAGAGGTGACCAATCGATGTCTCTTTCTCTCCCTTCTACTCTCTCTGAAAAGCAATGGAAAAAATTTCCTAGGGTGAGGATTGTTTCCAACTGAGCTGGGATGAGCAGCCCTTTGGCATCTTTTTGGTATAAACTTCTAGAGGTCGAATGGTTGAGTTAAAGAATATAGACACTTTTGATGGGAAATGTTACAAATTGTCTAATTATCCTCAGACAAGTCATAGCATTTTCTAGGACTATCAGCAGTGTGTGACACTACCCATTTCTCCATACCTTCTCCAAGTTTACAACTTACAATGTTAAAATTATAAATTTTATAATTGTGAATTTTAAAATATTTTATGTTAAAATATCTTTATTCAGCTGGTAAACAAACATTGGTTTAAATTTTCATTTAGTTGACTACCAGTGAGACTGGAAATTGTTTCATATATTTCAAATATGTATTGACCATTTGTGTTCATTACTTTAAATAGTACCTTCAGATAAGGCAACAGGTTCAGAAAAGTTAAATGACTTGTTCAAGGACACACAGATTCTAGGAAGCAGATAACTTTTCTTTCACATTCTGAAATGAAATGGGATTGCTCCTCAGTTTATCAGAGTGAGCAATAAAGCCTACGGAGCAAAGTTCTGTTGAATCCAAGAGTTCAAGGACATCTAACTAATATATAAGTCTCTTCAAGCCAAATCATCTTAATAAAATATTGCTTGGAGAATTATTATGAAGATTTAATGAACTACAGTTCTTTTACTCTTTGATTTATCAGTCTGAGATAAATTAAATCCAGATCAAGATTGGAAGATAAAGAAGAGACTGTTACAAAAGAGTGTCTGAATATTCTGACAGCATCCTTCTTACCATCCATCGGTCATGAATGGCTGCACAGTTGTAGATGCTGAAGGAGACGCTAGTACCCTGTGACCTCCTTCTCCCCATGAAGACCCCAGGAGGGCAAAGCAATCAACTGAATATGTTTTATGATGGTAGAATGCAACCAGCAAACTATTTCTAGAGATGCTCATAAACTGAAACTTGACTTTTCGTTTGAGTGCCTTTTTTCATTTCTATCCCAATGGATATGTAAAGCCAGGCTCTCACCTGCTGCTTTAACCTTGTGTGGCAAAGCCAAAGACTCCTTTTTTTAATAATTAACAAAAGAGTTTATGAGTCAACAATAATAAAAGAAAAAGAATAACAATAAATGAAATGCCAGAGTTACTGATATGTTTAAAAAAAATTTTTTAAAGCACACTGGCCAAATGTAATCTAGTAAGAATTGACCAGAGATCTATATCAGCAAGAGGAAGGAATTTGAGGGACCTGGAAAAGAGAGATGTTAACATTCTTTTGGAGGGGTAAAACTCCTAACAATTCTTTCTATTTGGCTTTAAATTCTTATCCTAGGAGAGTGAAGTGTTTGTTTTTATTTTTTTTAAATATATCTTTATTGATTTGAGGGAGAGGAAGGAAGAGGGAGAGAGAGAGAGAAACATCAATGATGAGAGAGTCATTGATCGGCTGCCTCCTGCACACCCCCAACTGGGGATCGAGCCTGCATCCTAGGCATGATCCCAGACCCGGAATCAAACCTCGATCTCCTGGATCCTAGGTGAACTGCTCAGCCACGCCTGGCGGGACAGAAGAGTGAAGTTTTTGTTCCAGAAACTGAGTGCTCAAGTTTCCCTCAGAAAGAGGGAAATGCCTGTTAACACATGTCCAATTGGAGATCATTTGTGTTCATGACTATCCCAGGCCAATAATAAAAAAAAGAATAACAATAAATGAAGTGCCAGAGTTACTGATATGTTTAAAAAAAAATTTTAAAAGCACACTGGCCAAATGTAATCTAGTAAGAATTAACCAAAAATCTGTATCAGCAAGAGGAAGGAATTTGAGGGACCTGGAAATGGGGCCTGGGATGCGGGCTCCATCCCCAGTCGGGGGCATGCAGGAGGCAGCATCAAGTAAAAGAGTAAAATTTAAGCACTAGGGGTCTCCACTCTTCCCCCTCCCCAAAGCGATGCTTCCTTGACCATTTCTTGTTTTAAGCAGAGAAATCATAATTAGGTGCCAGAAGCAGCAATGGAGACAGAAATTCAGTCACTGCCCCATAAAACGCGCGCAGTTTCCACCGGAGCACAGCACGTTAGGACACCTTAGTGTCTCCTGGATATGCACAGCTGGATTCTTGAAGATCTTGCATAACGTAAAATTCACGTAACTCAAGAGTAATTTTCCCATAACAATTCTGTATTTGTTCCTTATATAAGAGGCAGAGGTTTAAGGCACGGATTAGTGCGTTTAGCTCGAGTCAGATTACCTAGTCCAGTCCTCGCTCCTCTTACTAATGAAGAGAACTTAAGCAAGTCACTTAACCTCTTTTTGACTCAGACGCCTCAGCTGTAAAATGAAGATAATGAAAATACAAACATCTCGCCTGACTGACTCTTCAAAGGGCCCCATGAGGTAGCAATAGTCCCTACCTCACTAAGCTTGAGGGAGCCCTAATGAGTTAATATGTGTAAAGCAGTTAAAAAGATGCCTAGCACATAAGTGCATTAGAACTGTTTGCTTATTAATTATTTTTTATTATCAGCTAAAGCAGAACGGCCATGTAGCAAAAGCATAAATGGAGTTTATCATTCACTTGGCCCACTCACTTTGAATTTTTTAGATTCCTGACTTTTATTTTTAACTTAGGAGATTTTCATTATTTCAAAATGAGTGTATATATTTAGGCTTTATTTACCTTTTTACATTGCACTATTTTAAATTTGCATAATTTAAATAAGCATAAAACAAATAGGCACTATATGGGCTTTAGGTGTGAACGTGCAATAGATTAAAAGTTCGTTGCAATTCTAAAGGGCAATTACTACTGATCAATATGCAAGTGCTCTTGTAATTCAGAAGGGATTAAGGGTATACAACAACAGGCAGGCAACAGAGAGAGGAAGCTAGAAGATGCCTGCCCAGGTTGACTCCAAGTAAAACTAGTGATAACACTTCCTGTATGCCAGGCACTGGTCTAAGTCCCTTTTTAAAAATATATATATATTTAATTTTATTGATTTTTAGAGAGAGACATCTATCGGTTGCCTCCCGTACATGCCCCAACCGGAGGTAAATCAAACCTGTAGCCAGGGTATGTGCCCTGACCAAGAATCAAACGGGCCACCTTTTGGTGTAGGTGACAACTGAGCCACATTGGCCAGGGCTGGTCTAAGTCTTTTATACACATTATATTCAATTCTTACAATACCCCCATGAGATAAATACTATTAATGCCCCCATTTTACAGGTACAGAAACTGAGACACAAAATATTTAAGCAACTTGCCCAGGTCACCCACCTGGTAAGTGGTGGTGCTAAGATTTAAACCTAAATATTCTATCCCCAAAACCCAGATGTAGTTGTCTTACTACACCTCAAAAAGTTATGATGTAAAAGTTCATTTTATGTTCTTCCACTTTTTTCTCTCTTCAGGGCCTATTTACTTCTTAAATACTGCCCTACCCACAACTGTAATGGGCATGGATATGCTAAATAAACGCTGTGGAAAATACATCCCCCAAAGATGAGCAGTGTTAAAATTTTGGTGTATTTCCTTCTAGGCGTTTTTCTAAGTTCATGGGTTTGTTTTACATAGTTGTGATCATATTGTACATACAATTTTAATCTTCCTTTCTCCCTTCACAATATTTTAATATGTGCTTTAGAAAGTTCATAAACTTCCTTTATATAGGCTGCATAATGTACTGTTACATGGCAGTTCCATAATATATCTACTATTCCTTTCATGTTGGACATCTGAGTACTTCCATCTTTTTTAGTGTGAGATGAAAATCTTTGTCCCCTCTTTCTTGATAGTTTCCCTTTTCCTAACATTTCTTCATATATTCCTCAGCACACAATGACGTTGATATCCTTCTATCTTTCCTTCTCTCAAAATTTACTTTCTGGACTCAGGAGGGAGTGGGGGTGGGGGTAGAATGTATTAATGGGGGGGGCATCTGTAATACTTTCAACAATAAAGATAATAAATAAATAAATAAATAAATAAATAAATAAAAAATAGATTTTCTTTCTGGAAGGAAGCTGGTAAACTCATTCATACTAAAGTGTATATGGTTTGTGAAGCTTAATTTATTATCTCTTCAAAGATACTTTTATCCATTTAAGCCAAAGGAATGAAGCTCTAATTGTGGGATTTTAGTCATCAGAAAATCTATCTGGCGAGATCCTCCAACCTCCCCAATCAGAGAGTAGACTCCACAATAGAAAGAGGTTCAGGGCTTACTTAATGTTAGTAAATCTGAAGAGAAGGTGGTCTAGAGCTGTGAAGGTGGTGATGTGAAAAGAGGGACTTTTTATAAGGAACAGTTAAAAAACTGGATAGAACAAAAGATGAAAGTCAGAAGACTCGCCCAGCCACGCAGGGGGCATTCCGCACCACTCACCGAGCTTCGGCTGTTTGCCTTTCCAGTCCTTCTGGCCTTTGCGAGGGGCCCCGCCCACTCATCAGAACCTCTTGGTCTTCATTCCTCTGCCAAGTCTCACCGTGTGGAGGCCCTTCTGAGCCACAGAGCCCTTCGCAAGGAACAAAAGAGAAGTTCTAAGAGGGCCCATTCCAAGCCCTGTGTTCACAGGCGATCTTGCTGGACTTTCACCTCCCGCGACTCAAGGGCAGTTAATAATCCTGGGGCGGGGGGGAGCAAGGTGGTCAGAGGCCTCACGTGAAAGTTCACAGTCCTGTGCTGCCCCCCAGCCAGGTGTCTTTCTTTCCCTCCTCCCAGAGGCTGCGCGGGGCAGCACAGGGGACCCAAGGCAGAACCCAGTTTCCCCCAAGGCTCCCTACCCGAAAGGGCATCGCGTCCTCCAGGGAGGTGCTGGTGGCGGCTGGCGTGGAGAAAGGGGACCGAAGGGGTGTGCAGGGTAAAGGCCAAGCCAAAGGGGTCAACGGCTCCTCCCGTTCTGGATTACCGAGAGGAGGGAGCCCGAAACGCGGAAACCTAGCCGGCCCAGCAAGAAACAAACCGGCGAGACGCTCCAAGGAGGGCAGGGCGGGCGCCGCGCCCGGGGGACCGGCCGCCTCTCGGCTCCCGC